CTGGGAGGGAAACGGGGCAGGATGTAAATCTGCCTTCATCTTTTATGGTGGCTTTTTTCCTTCAACAATATCAGACAGCACTCTGTCGACTTAAACTAAGCACATAAACATTTGTTGGAGAATAAGATATTTATTAACTTTCTGGTTGCCTTAACAGTGCTGTTAATATACCTGCTGTTGTTCATTTTATGTCCAGGTTAATGATTAAATCCAGGTTCTCTAAAGAGGCATCTGTTGAGATGAAACTAGCAAACCTGCTTGTACATAATGTCATCCTTTTAAATTTCCCCCTTTGTTGATAAGGTAGATCTCACACCAAACCAGAACCAAGCACTTTGCTGTCCAGTCGATGCTGGCTCCTGGTAAACCTCTGTTGGGCTTCTGAGGCTGTCAGTCTTACTTTTAGGAGACAGCCCGTTTTTCTCCCTTGGAGTGGCCAGTGGATTAGAACTGCCAACTTAATGGGTAGCAGTCCCTCGTGTGGCACACCCCGCTGTATTCTCAGTGGCCACTGTATTATCATGTCTCCATGTAGTGGGATGAGGGAGCATCCGGGTTCAGTTCCCGGCTGTCGGTGTAGGGCGCTGTGCTCTCACGCTGAGCAGCAAGGCCTGGTGATCTCCCTAACATCAGCCAGGCGAGGCCTGTGCCCCGCATCACTGTGACCCTCACGGGCAGGACTGGGCATCGGTCTCTCCACTGTGCTTGGAGTTGCCCTGACTCGGGCCAGCTCACAGCAGGCCTTGTTAGTGTACATGCCGTGCGTGCGTGCCGTGTGCTGCATTCCTGAATGATAAAACCAACCAGACCAGTTGGCCATCACTTCCCTGCTGCAGCCCCGGTGCCCTGGAGCACACCTGCCTGCCGGAGGGTCCCCAGCCATGGCCTTGGTGTCACGGCACACTCCTGGGTGGTCTGAACTAGCACTGGGGCCACTAGGCACTCCTTCTAGAGGCTGTGACCTGAAAATCCTGATGGGGGGGCTGAAGAGCCTGAGCTTGTTTCTGTGCGTCTGGAACCTTGAGCAAGACTCACTGGAATGACCCTTCCTGTTTGGATCACAGCCGAGAACGGTAGGCCGTTAGATTTCAGGAGCAGGTACTGAGGTCCACAGTGTTGACTGCAGAAGTGCTCCCTAAGCTCCTCGCACTAGTCGTCAAGAAATTACAAAGGAGAAGAACTGTTAAAAGTGTTTTTCTCAAGTGTGCACTGCACACTGAACATTTGGTTGGGGGCACAGGCCCCTCTGCCCCTTGTCCAGCGCTCAGAGGGGCCGCTGTGCTTATGATGGTCTAAGCTGATCAGTGATGGGAGCACAGGATGGAGCTGAGGACGGTCTGTCCACTGTTTTAAGGTGCTGATCAGAAGTCAACAGTTCAGTCCCACTAGCCACCCTCCAGTAGACAGATGGGACAGTTCACATTTCGATTTACAGCCTTGGAAGGACAGAAGGAAGGTGGTAATGAGTCTGAGTCAGCGTTGACTTGTAGGCTTTAAGAAGGAGCTCTGGTGGCATCTGTAACTGAAAGGTCAGAGGTTTGACCCTCCACCCACCCACTTACAGGAGAAACGTGCTCCCGTGATGATTTACAACCTTGGAACAACTGGGTTGCTGTGAGTCAGGGTAGACTCGGTGGCAACGGATCTGGTGTGGTTTTGTTGTTTGAAAAACACAGATAATTTAAGAACATTTTTACCTAAAATGGGGGCACGGAAGGGTTTGATGCTTAAAATGATGGCCCTTAGTTGTCTGGAAAGTTGTAGCCTGCTCTAGGGTGTTATCTTTAGCCTTCGTGGAGAGCCTTGTATTTTTGTTGGCGCGTGTATTTCAGGTGCAAAAAAGTTAACAGTATGAGTGATTCCTCAGACACTCTCCCAAAGAGCCAAACGGTGGTGGGCTCCTGGAGGGATCCCTGAGAGCCGTGGCAAGCTGGCGAGCCCGTGGGCACCTGTCCTGTGCGCTCACCGCCGGTCAGCCTGCTGCAGTGGGTTCGTTCAGTTTGTCACTTTGGAAATGTTTGTAGGTAATGATGCTTCATGTCCTTCATTGATGTAATTGGTATTTGCCATCAAATCAGAACCTGCTCATAACTGACCCTCCAGTGGGTTTTCAGAGGGTATAAATCGCACAGGAGGAGATTGCCCATCTTTCTCCCATGGGACAGATGGTGGATTTGAACCTCCTGCCTTCAGGTGGCAGCGCAACTCCTTACGCTAGGCCGCCAGAGATCTCTAATTTGATACAGTGAAATATGTTTTGCAAAGAAAAAAAATTTTTTTTTATTTTGTGTGCGTGTACCATCAAATCAGATCTGACTGGTACAGGAGGATATTGCGCCTCCTTCTCCAGCAGAGCGTCTGGTGGATTCGAACTGTGTTCCTCTGGGATTGCAGTACAGCTTCTTGCCACTAGGCCACCAGAGCTCCCATAGAAAATATTTTTTTGTTTTCTATTTTACCATGAGCCAGTGTAAATTTAGAAATTAGTGGTCCTTCCGGCGGCTCGATTGATGGGTATATTTCTTTTCCACACGTGTGACAGGTTGGAGGGCTCACATTTCTAATAGATAATGACCATTAAAAGAGCCCTCATTTTTCTCAGAGTATGAACTGTCCGCATTCCTCCCTGTGGCTCTGCTCTGCCTCCACATTCCTGTTCTCACAGACTTAAAGCAGAAATGAGCCCAGATTCCGATTCTTCACATCTCCCACTGCTTCCTGCTGCATTTGATCTTCCTGTCTGGTGGTGTTCTTTTTTAATTTTTGTTTTGTTTGTTGAGACTCTGCACCCTGAAGCACACCAGTTCAGCAGTTCTGTGACATGAATGACTTTCTCAGAGCCAGTTCACCCGTTCCCAGTGTCTTTTGAAGATGCTTTTCCCTGATAACAGCAGCTCACTGCCTCACGAGGCTCCTTGTCTAATTTTTTAGTTAATGTTTTCACCAATTTAGTCCTAAATAGTACGTTTTAACACAGCTAATATTTAAAGCATGTATCTTTTACTAAGTAAGCCATTTTCTGTTTTGAGACAATCCCAGGATATTTTTTATTTAAGATTGAAAGATTAGCTCAGGGCGATAGTTTCAAGAGTTTATGTAGCTTCAGAGCTCCAGCAAGTGTGACTTCCCTGAGAACTTGAGATTCTGTTCTGAATTTCCCCCATTTGATCTGGATTCTTGTGGAGTCTTTGAGGATGCTGGGTGGTAACGGGCCTGCCCTGGGGAGGGAGGTGGCTGTTTGTGGGGACAGCCGTGCACCCCAGGCACTCCATAGCCGCCCTCTGCTGCTCCGGGTGGATTGATGATGGGACTTTTTAAATCCTGTGCTCTCCTGCTTTGTTTTCCTTGCTGGGTTGTGTTGGGAAGTATCGCTCATCATTCGTGGTTCCTGAGCTCCTGTGCTGGGGGACCAGAGCTCCCACGGGACCCCCAGCCTCTCTGCCAGCTCACAGTGTTGGTGGTGAATGTTGTGCACTGTTGAGTAGGAACCGACCTGTAGCTGACCCTCCAGAGGCTGTAAATCACACAGGAGGCGACTGCCCATCTTTCTGTTGCAGAGCAGCTGCGGGATTTGAACCGTATGCAGCACAGTTCCGGTTACCACTAGGCCACCAACACTCCGTGGACAGTGAATCCAGACCCTTACTCATGAAGTCCTCGAAGGGGTCTTCTGCTTGTTGCTCTTGAGCTCATCACGTGGTCTCCTGACTCCAGATTGCCGCTCAGCTGTGGGAGCCAGTTTGCGTCCATCCACTGCGCAACCCCACGTGGTGACCACACCATAGACAGGGGCAGGCAGGAAGCAGCCGCCTCCGAGCTCGTCGGTTGCCGTTGGAAACGTCAGTGCGTTAGCCCGCCGCCCTCTCCCTCTCCCTCCTCACTCCCCTAGCCAGCCGTGTGCTCTGAAGCCTGTGGGATCAGGGCTGCGGGGACTGCCGGGTTGCACCAGTTTTCCACCCCGGCAGGGTTCAGTCTGCCAGTTTGGGGTCACTCTGTTAGTGTTAAAATAGCAGAAACGTTTCCACTTTACACAGGTTGCAGCCCTCACAAGTCTAGGCTATCACACTGCTCTCCTCTCCCCTTATGTCGGAGGACTGGATCCTGGGGGTCTGTGCTTTCATTTAAGGAGCCATAGCGAGGTGGGTGGTGTGCTGAGTGTCAGGCCGCCAACCAACAGAGTCACCTGTTCAAATTCACCATGACTTCACACTCTGACAGGAGATGGATAATGTCCTTCCGTAAAGATTTACGGCCTCGGAAACCTTACTGGAGGGCTGCCGGGAATCGGAGTTGACCCGGTCACTGGGTTGTGTTGGTTGGTGGCTTGGCTGCTAACCGCAAGGCTGGTGGTTCCAGTCCGCCAGCTGCTGTGTGTGGACAAAGATGGACAGTCGCCCTCTGAAGAGTTACTGTCAGAAACCCAGTGGACGCTCGGTCTGAGTTGGGGTCATGTTAACAGCAAAGGGTTTGGTTTTTTGGTGGTGTTTGAATTTCTGTATTACAATTATCCTTTAGATTTTACAGGTTTAAATCAGAACATTGTATGTTTCTGTTGTGAGCTATGACATCATCCTCCTCATCCCATCCCCCTCCCTTCCCCTCCTTTTCCTTCCCCTCCCTTCACACCTGCTACTGACCAGAACTTGCCCTGGTCACTGTCTGGGTGGCGGTGGTCTGGGGTAGCATGGAGTGAGGCTGTGCATGGTCACTGGGTGATGGTGGCCTGGGACAGCGTGGAATGAGGCTGTGCGTGGTCACTGGGTGATGGTGATCTGGGGCAGCGTGGAATGAGGCTGTGCGTGGTCACTGGGTGATGGTGATCTGGGGCAGCGTGGAATGAGGCTGTGCGTGGTCACTGGGTGATGGTGGTCTGGGGCAGCGTGGAGTGAGGCTGTGTGTGGTCACTGGATGGTGGTGGTCTGGGGTAGTGTGGAGTGAGGCTGTGCGTGGTCACTGTCTAGGAGGATTGGCTCTCACTTTTGAATTTGCCTCTCTTGCAGGTCCCTAGCTGTGGGTAGTAAGACCGGTTATAAATTTTTCTCCCTTTCTTCCGTGGATAAGCTGGAACAGATCTATGAATGCAGTAAGTGTTTCCTTTATTTTTTGCCTCCTTTGGAAAAAAAAAAAGACGTCCTGTCCACAGGCTGAGGTTAGGCCAGATGCGTGCACGCTCCTCCCATCCCCTCTCCAGCGGTGCTCTGGTAACAACTTGGTCCTGTTCTTGCCGCGTGCACATGGATGTACATGTGGAACCCAGCTCTGCTTGTGGGGTTTTCTTAAACTTAAGACACCATGCAGTATGAATTAGTCTGCAGTTTCCCCTTTCGTGCATTTTTATTGCTCAGAGAAGAGCCTTCCAGAAGATGGGAGATTCTGCAGCTCAGTGGGGGTGGCTGCTTCTCCTGGTGGTCTTTGTATGCTTTAAATGTCAGAGAGTAATAGGGTCACAGATAGTCATGGGCTCAGGCACTGCAGGATGCTTTTAGGGAGGCCTCATTACCCCGCACTGCTGAGCCTGACGAATGATGTGTGGGAATCCCTGGTGACACACTGGCGAAATGCTGGGCTGCGAACCAGAACGTCCATGGTTTGAACCCACTGACCACTCTGAGGGGAACCCTGAGGCAGTTGGCTTCTGTAATGGCTTCCAGCCTCGGGAACCCCAGGGGTCAGTTCTCCACAGTTGCACCACTGTGGCCTGGAATTGACTGGATCGTGATGGGCTGGGTTACGGTTTATGAAGCTGGCCAGGACCTCACGGTGTGTGCACAGTGAGTCATCAGAGAGCCTGTGGTGCAAAGTTGTGGGCTGGGGGCCCTTCACCCCCAGTGGCTAGGGGATGGAATGTTCTGGACCCTCCACGTACACAACCTTTTCTCTGCATGTTGAGATAATTGTGACTTCACTTGTAGTTCTAGGAAATAATGTGGATCCTCTATGCTGTTTGCGGAGTTTTCTTCTGTGGTCTTTGTAAAACTATAATGTTTAGTAGATCTGGGATAGAAATGCAAATTCAGTTCTGACTCACAACTCCCTTCCTCGGCTGTAAATTGTAACAGGATCAGGAAGAAGCTGCATCTTTCTCCCAGAGAGTAGTGGATTTTTTTTTTAGAGTAGTGGGTTTGGGGGGAGCTCTGGTGGCCTAGTGGCAAGAAACTGCACTGCAATCCCAGAGGTGCACGGTTCGAATCCACCAGATGCTCTGCCGGAGAAGGAGGCGCAATATCCTCCTGTACCAGTCAGATCTGATTTGACGGTACACGCACACGAAAATTAAAAAAAAAAAGAAAGGAAAAACATAGAGTAGTGGATTTGAACCACTGACATTTTGGGTAGAAAACTATTCATTGTATCACAAGGGGTCCTTTGATGTAATGTTTCCCTTGGGGTGCTGGCATTGATGGAGTCCATTCCGATTTCCTCAGTTTTACTGGTGTTCATTGTCTCTGCATCTTTGCCAGTGTTTCAGGCTGTCCTATTTTTTTTTTATTGCAGCCATTCTGAGTAGGGTGCAGGAAATTTCGGTATGGCCCTTCTCACAGCAGTCTCTGAACTCTTACTAAGTAGCTGGCTGGGACTATGCTCATTAGTTCTGTGTGGCCCCCCAGAAAGATCGGACGCTTGCTAATGTTAGCAGACACTTGGAAGAAGGCATACAGAGGGGGTGTCTGGAGCCCTAACAAGGCAGTTGTTCAGCTTTGCCATCCTGCAGGCTTTAACATGAGCCATCCCGAACGGGAAGGGGAGACCAATGCAAAAGACAAGCCAGGAGCGGAGTGCACCCTCTGGACCCGAGAGCCCTGTGCTGAGAACATGGAAGGCTGTGGGGAGACCAGGAGACAGCATAGTGGGAGCCAGAGTGGAGAAAGGAGGTGTGCTGGCTGAGCGAGATGCTGCTGCGCACCCCTTGGCCGAGCTGGGAACTCTGTAACCCTTGGCTGAGCAGCCCAGGGGCTTGGGGGACAGACGACCAGGGGCCTGGAGACAGTAGAGCCAGGAGGCTGAGGGCCCTAGAGAGGTTGACCTGACTGAAGAACTGTACCAAGTTGAGGGAAGCCGAATATCAAATTTAATAATAGTAGACCAAATGCTGTATCGGGAAATAAGAGAGGCTTAAAAGATTTCACCATTATCCTTTGTTTCGTACTTCCTTGTGATTCTGTATAAATACTCAGAGAAGCATGGCTCGAGGTCTTCAGTCGAGAACTGCTGACCCCCTGTTTTACGCTCTCTGCTCTATCTCATTCCTGGCTGTTTGTCTCTTTATTATAAAATTATTCTATTCTTTAGGACCCTCGGTCTACAACACCAAGTGGTTCCAGGTCCCAAGTCACAACCCATCACTCCCCTCATAACCCCCACAGTGGTGCGTAGGGGCTGGGAGTTCTGCATGGACAAAGCCGGAGTGCTGTGGGAGGGACGACTGGTGGCGGAATTGACGCAGAGGTTAGCGGTGGGGGGGAGGCCCATCTGACCTCAGGGCTCCTGCTGCTGCTGCCGCCCCTTCTCCCCATTGTAAAGCCAGGGGCTCTGCCCCACCCACTCATTTTTCCAGCGGTGACAGTTGATGGCTTTGGTTGCATTTCCCTGATGGTTGATGTTGTAGAATATTGTCACACTTGTTTGTTGTTGTTATGTGCCGTAGAGTCACTTGGGACTCATATAGCGACCCTGTACAACAGCCCTAAACCCTGCTCTATCCTGTGCCAATCTTATTGTCTCTGACACACCTGTCCCAATTACCCAAGTTTGCCATATGTTAATCCCCTTCTGTGAGGCTTCTGCCCTTTGCCCACTTTGTAATTTTGGTGGGTTTTCACTGCTGAGGATTGTAGTGTAGAGGGGTATCCCAGTTACTTATTTTTGTTGGTATGTGGTTTGTGAATTCTCCTCCCAGACCCCCTGAAACTCAGCTGTGGCCCTGGCCCAAGGTAGGAACTGTTGGAGAGAGTGGAGGATTTACCATCGACTGGAGAGATGGCAGTGCAGTTCCTCGCACCGGGAACTTTCGAGGGTTGTGCATTGGGCATGCCAGCGTGAACTACCCCTCAGGGCTCGCTCACAGCAGCGACTGAGGACGGTGCATGCTGCTGCTGCTTTCTTCTGTTGTACGTGGGCTTGCTGTGAACTGCAGCTGATTGAATCACTCTGGTGACTTAGTGGTAAGGGTTGCGCTACCAGCCCAAAGGCAGGTGGTTCGAATCCAACAACTGCCCCACAGGAGAAAGATGGGCAGCCTCCTCCCAGGTGATTTGCTGCGTCTGAAAACCCGCTGGAGGATCAGCTATGAGTAGGTTCCAACCTGATGGTGCATAGCATATGAGCTCTACACGTTTGATGTTTCTAGCAGGAGTCCCGTCACCAGCTTCTTGCTTTGTTTCCCCACCAGTCCAGGGGCCCCCTGGAGAGTGTTTGCATCTGGAGAGTGGAGGTAATGCAGCTCCCTCACATGCAGGACCTTGGTCTGTGCTCCCTCCGCACTGAGCCGGCCTGGCTGGGCTCCGGAGCCAGGTGCTCTGAGGACACCAGTGTGACAGGAAGGTGGTGGTGACCCATCAGGTCGCAGAACAAGATGGCTGCCCGTGACACAGTGGCCTCATGACCGCATTCTCTAACAGCCATGCCTCTGAGCCAGGGTGACAGCCCTGAGCCACCACGGCCTGTGTCCTCTCCTCACACCTCAGCCTTTGCTCCCACCGAATGGCCCAGAGGATTGGAGGGCACAGTGGACTTTCCCAGATGCTCCGTGTGCATTTCCTCCGCCTTTGGGGTTTCTCAGGTGGGACGCTGAAGTGAAGAAGCAGCGGACTGTCTCTTAGCGAGTGGCTGGAGTGTATTTTGGTGGCAGAAACGCATCTGTAGATACAGGACAGCTCGGGCGGCCGTGTGGCTTGGCCAGGACCCAGCGTCGCTTCCCTCACAGGCCGTCGCCTGCACCCTGAGGGGGAGATGTGGGGCTTTTTGATGCCATGCCTCTGGGGCAGACCTTGCACCGGCTGGAATATTCATTTACATGAGATTTGTGGTAATGGACTTCACAGGCGAAATGCCAGGAGCCACTCTGCTTGAATCTGCTGTAATGGAATAGTTGGCACTGGACGTACACCTTGGGGGCTCTAGTCACCCCAGGAGGCAGGACTGGGCAGATGGCCCCGTGCGGAAGTGTATCCACCGTTGCGTGGCTTCCTCTCCCTCGCCTCCTGCACCCAGGCTTTATCCTCACCTGCTGTGACAGAGCCAGCAGAACCAGGTGGCATCCTCAATCGCTCAGATTCCGGTTTTGAGAGGTAGTCTCTGGTCCGAGGGCAGGGAGCACCTGGAATGAGCCCTGCAGGCCCCCGAGACCGACGTCGGCCCACGTTCTGTTCAGGCTCGTGGGTGGGCAGCTGGGAGTCATGGCACTGGCCATCCTGAGTATTACGAGTGGGGCTGCTGGGTCTCTTGTTCTTCTCTTGGGGGACATTAACCTTTCCCAGCGTGGTCCTCTGTTGACTCTTGTGTCGGGGGGCTGAGCCATCCGCCCTTGACCAGAGCAGGGAGCAGGGCTGTAGGGCGTGTAAGACCCCTTCTGTCATGGTGACACCTACTCAGTGTAGTCGTTCGGAGCTGTTGAGTCAGAACCGGCCCATAGCGCACCCTCAGTGGGTCTCAGAGGCAGTCAGTCGCATGGGAGGAGATTGCCTGTTTTTCCCCCGTGGGGCAGCTGGTGAGTTTGAACCGTGTGTCTTTGGGATTGCAGTGCATTGTCTTACCACTAGGCCACCAGAGCTCCCACCTACTTCCTGGTGACCCTGTAAGGTGAAGCACCCTGTAGGGCTTAGAGGACGAGCTTCTCTGGTCACTCGGATGAGCAGCCGCTCGGAGGGAGAAGGTGGACGGCCTCCTGGTGCACTTTACAGCTTCAGAAACTGCCAGAGCGTCAGTGTGCGTGGAACCCACTCCACGCAGTGAGTGAGTGATCTTACTGGAGGGAGTCCGTGAGCCCCAGTAATTAAAACCCTGGGCTGCTAACCAAAGTCAGTGGTTCAAATCCACCAGTCCTTCCCCGGGAGAAGGACAAGGCAGTCGGCTTCGTGGGCTTACAGCCTTGGTGAGCCTGCGGGCGTCTGCCCTGTCCCAGCAGCACTGAGTTGGAAGGGAGTAGGGATCTTTGCAGGAGACGACCAGGTCTTTCTCCAGAATCACTGTAGGTTGGAAAGTCGGCTTTGGCTTAGAAACTGCAAAATGAGTGTATGCAGCACGAGGACAGCTGAATTGGACCTCTACTAGCCCCACAGAACTGTCCCATCAACAGCATCAGGAGACACAACTAATTCCTGTGTCGGACAAGGTCTCCCACGCTCCTTTACCTCCTAATTCCAACAGCAGTCTGACTGCTCCACTGGGTCCAGAATTCGTTCCAGTGACCACCTGGACCTCAGTGCCCCATGCTCACGGCAGGGAGTGTGTGAGGGAGTGAAACAGGCTGCACGTCATCTTGACAGCAGGATACAGTCCGTCTGTGGGGCGGCTGTCCCGATCAGCTCTCTCTGCCGAGGCTGTTGCTGCTCTTGTGCGGATCCTGGTCTGACCAGCACAGGAATCTCTGGTCCCAAGGACACGCGCGGCTTCCTCCTCTTGCCTGGTACTGAGATTCCCAGATCCTGCCACTGAAACCGCTGCAGTTAAACGGGCTGGCGAGAGGAGCCGGTCCTCCTGTGGGGAGACTCGCACAACCTGTCCATGTGGCAAAATCACAATCCCTGGGGGGTTTTGTTTGCTTTTTTCTAAAACTGAAAAGCCATTTTTAGCAGTAAATCCTTGACACCACAGCAACCAAGTGCTTAACTGCTGTTGCTGCCAGGGCTCCCAGGCGTGCCCTGTGAAGACTGAGCTTCTGGGAAAACACAGGAGGAAAACAAGGGGCACAGACTTGTTCACAAAGTGTCGGCACCTCAGTCCCACGGTGGTTGAAGTGTTAGGCTGCTAACCAGGAGGTTGGCAGTTCAAACACACCAGCTGCTTTGTGGCACCTGGACTGAAGTGTACACGGACGGCCAGGCTGGGACACCCTTGGGGCGATTCTGCTCTGTCCGCACGGGTGGCTGGAAGGTGGCTCTTCTGAGCCATCGTTGTGGCCACTGTCAGTCCATCTCACCGAGGACCTGCCTTTTATTGACCCTCCGCTCACCAAGCCTGTTGTCCTTCTCCAAGGACTGAGTCCTCATCCACTGCCCCCACAGTTGTGTGTGAGGTCACTCTGGAGAAGCCACTAGCTAAGCCAGCATCCGGTGCTGGGCCTGTGCAGCAGCCGTTGGTACTGAGATGGTGGACACTGTCCTGGCCTCTTCCAGGGCAGCTCTGGCGGGATGCTCTGTAGGGACTTAACACTGCTCACCCAAAGACTGTGCCGCTGGTGGTTCAAATCCACCAGCTGACTCCGGGTGAAGGTGGGCAGCCTCCTGCCATGGGATTTACAGGCTTTGAGACCCAGTGGAGGGTCAGCTGTGAGTTGATTCTGACCCAGCAGCTGGGCAGTGGTAATCCTCTTTCTGAGCTGACACCAGCGTGGTACCTGGTCCAGTGCTGAGCCCACGGAGGTGCGGGACCCCGTGCGCCATCCTGGAAGGACACCACCGTGTTTTACGTGGTAGTTTGGTCCCTGCAATCGCTCCACTGTGTGAAGTTGTTGGGTTTCCTCATGAGCTGATTCCACTCAGCGACCTCATGCACGATGCCCCATGGTGTTTTCAGGTCCTCTCTCCTCTGGAGCCGCTGGGTGGTTTTGAACCATCAGCCTTTCCGTTGGCTTCTAAGCACTTACCCATTGCACCCCAGGGCTCCTTTTACACTGATTTAGTCCAGCCACAGCTATGACACCAAGGATTCCTTTCCCGTCACTCTCAGGCTCCAGTTCTAGAACCCTCAGACCCTGACTGGGCCTGTCCTGCGGTCCCCAGCCTCACACAGTGCGGTCATGTGCAGGCCCCACTCTGCAGCCAGCTTTGTGCAGTGGGGCTGGGAGGTGCACTGTGAGAGGGAGGAGTGTCCAGTGTCTCCCCTCAGGCTTGTCTGGCTCCCTGGAGACCTTGTGTCTTCCCCTGACTGTCCACACCAGCCCAGCCTTTACTGACAGTGTGAGGGGTGGAGGCAGGGGAGCTGAGGGCTATAGCCACAGAGGCCACCCCAGTGGTCAGGAAGGACAGGCGACTTGAGTGTTCTCCAAAGCCCCGTTGGTGGGATCATTCTTGAGGCCTCAAGTTAACCCTGAGCCAGCCATGCAGGGAGGATTTATGGGGACCCTCCAGTGACCGCATCCTCTCTGTAGGGCTCTGACAGCCTGGTGTGACCACTGTGTACTTGCCAGTGACTGTGGAGGTGTGTCCGTGTCCTGATGGTGTGGCTGTGTTACATGTATGTGGTGCTGCGAGGATGTCACGTGGCCGTATGCAGAGGCGCATCCCCATCCCTGACCCATGTCCTCCCTGCAGATGACACGGAGGACGTGTGCATTGTGGAGCGGCTCTTCTCCAGCAGCCTGGTGGCCATCGTCAGCCTCAAGGCGCCCAGGAAGCTGAAGGTCTGCCACTTCAAGAAGGGCACGGAGATCTGCAACTACAGCTACTCCAACACCATCCTGGCTGTGAAGCTCAACCGGCAGGTGAGGGACGCTGCCCACTGCCTCACCCTGCTCCCACGGTGTCTGCCGGGCCACCTCCAGCGGGGCCTCAGCCCCGCCCCAGGCACAGGTCCCCCTGCTGACCATGGTCCCGGGCGGATTTCCATCTCCTCACCAGTGTAGTGTGTGTGTGACTGTGCCTCTAGGAGCCCTAGTGGGGCAGTGCTTAAGTGCTCAGCTCCTAGCCCAAAGGTCAGCAGTTTGAAGACACGCTGCTCCTGGGAGGAAGATTCGCGCCCAGAACCACTGAGGGCAGCTCTCTGTCCTGCAGGCCCGAGTCAGAGTCCACTCGATGCATCCAACAGCATAGTCACTTACAACCTTCTTTAGTTTTATGTTACTTTTTAAAAGATGTTCGAACTTTTTCCTTTTTCAGACAGTTTAACTTCTGTAATTTAAGATAAGGGATACACATATTTTAGTACAAATGATGTGTACTTTGCCAAGCAACCTTGTCAGTTTCCTGTTCACAGAACATGAATCGCATGTGAACACGGGCACATTACGTGTGAAAAAATACACTGTTAGGTTTGTGATCTTCCCGTAAAGGAGCTTGTCGGAGCGAGAAGGGGCCTCTCATGGCTTCTGCTTGCTCTCCAAGTGACAGCTCAGATGTGGACATCTTGCTTTTCTCACTTTGAGGAGTTCTGATGGTATAATTGGTTACACATTTGCTACTAACTAAAAGGTTGGCAGTTTGAATCCACCAGCTGCTCTTGGGGAAAGGGCAGTCTCCTGTCAAGATTTACACCCGCAGGAACCAGATGGTGGGAGGTGTGCAGGCGTCAGGACCACCTTGACGGCGTTGTTTGGGTCACTTGTCATTCCGACCCCATAGCCATGGTTCTTTGAGCACAGTGCTGTTTCCTCGGCAGAGTAGACAGTGATTTTTTTTAAAGCCACTGGCCTGACTGAAGCTATGAGTGTCCACCACATTATCACACAGAAGAGGCAAACACACACACTCCCCACACGTGCGCGCACACCTCCCACCAAGAGAGCATTCTTAGCCTGGGGGGGGGCCTCTGTCCACGCTATGACAGTTAATTAGCCTTGTCATTAGTTACTAGTTCAACAGCTGTGGGGACAAGCTCAGTGACGCTGGGTGCCCTCCATTAGCGCCGCAGGACACCGTCCAGCAGGAAGGCCGCTCACTAAGTGCCAGCCGTGGAGCATCCTGAGTCGGCCGGTGTCCTGGAGGGAACACGTGCGCCGTCCCAGGATGGCTGCGTCCCTGGGCGACTGCTCATGCCTGGCTTCTGTCTCTTTCTAGAGGTTAATTGTGTGCCTGGAAGAGTCTCTGTACATACACAACATCCGGGACATGAAGGTCCTGCACACCATTAGGGAGACGCCCCCAAATCCCACAGGTAAATCCATCTGGAGAATGATTCCCTTGCTCTTCTGATTGTAAGTAGAGGTGAGAGGTTTGCTTTAGAGTGTGGGATTCCTGGGGTCTCATTACAGTTTCTGCAAATTAAGAAAAGAATTTTTAAATGTTGCTTTTCCTCCTGTGCGTTGAAAGTTTCTAGAGCAGTTGGTTTCCTGTTCATCAGACTTTGTTAGGCCTTAATCAGTCATGTTGCAGCCGCGCTCTTCTTTCCTCCCCCCCCCCACCCCGGGAGTCTCGGTTTCCTGCAGTGTTTAGAAAACAAGCCTAACTGAAGAGCCAGCTTCCCTTTTACCTGATAGAGTCTTGTCGTCGTGTCCTTGGCCACAGTTGTGAGCTTACTAATCAGTGCTCCGTCCTTGGTGCCCAGGGTGGTAAGGCTTCATCTCACACAGCACTGGGCCTATTACCAGGAGGGCGGAGTGTGTGGAGAAGGCCATCACGCGTGAAAAGGTGGCGGGTCAGGAGGAGAGGCCGCCCACTGAGGTGGATTGAGCCAGCAGCTCCAGCAGTGGGCGTGAGCACGGGGGAGGTGGGGTGGCTGGTGCACGGTCAGGGGAGTGTGTGTCCTGTGCTCAGGGTCGCTGTTAGTCCACAGCACTCACGGTAATCCGTTCACGTCAGAGGCCTCGGGATGTTTCTTACGTGGCTGCAGTTCCCGTCTGTAGCTCTGAGTCCTGGCTGCTTTGACAGCCCCTAACAGCATCCTCTTAAGAGCGAGTCTGGCTGCGCCAAACTGTTAGCATACCTGATGGCATTGCAAGTCCACCCTGAGAGGCTGTTGACTCCAAAGAGTCGGTCATGGAACATCCCCTGGGACGCCTTCTGCCTGGCACGGCTGGGGCCAGCTGTGTTGGAATTGGCTCAGTGGCAAATGGGTGTTGGGGAGAGTTTTTTAATCTAGTGGCAAAGTGGTTAAAACAGTTGGCAGCTAAGCGCGAGGTCAGTGGTTGGAACCCCCGGACCAGCTGCTGGGCAGTCTCCTCCCTGTGGGATTAACAGCCTCTGAAAACGTGCTGGCAGGTCAGCTGTGGGTCAGCTCCAAGTTGGTCCTCAAAGCGACAGCCAGAGGCTCATAAGGAGGAAGATGGGACTGGCCACTTCTGTAAATCATAGCAGCTTGAGAAGCTCACAGACAGGAGTCCTCTTCCAGGGGCCTCATGAGTCAGAACTGACCAGAGGGCCATGATTTCATCTTGCGGTTTGGAGGTGTTGAGCTTTGACAAAGGCCGAGGGCCCTGAAAGCGCTGTCCGCTGCGCGGCTGCCGTCCTCCTTCCCTTAGGGTCAGTGCTGCGTCGTCCAGTACCTGCCCGGGGCACCCTCGCAGACCTGACTCTCTGTGCTACAGGCTTGTGTGCCCTGTCCATAAACAACGACAACTGCTACCTGGCGTACCCCGGGAGCGCGACCATCGGAGAGGTGCAGGTCTTCGACACCATCAACCTGGTGAGCGTCCTTGTCAACCTGACACGTTTCTTGAATGAGCCCTTTGTGGTGCTGCTGAGGCTGGTGGTCCATTTCCTGAGCTCAGCACACTGATCGTTGCATCCTTGCTGATGCAGGTCAGGCCTGGTCACCTCTGCCTCCCAGTCCACACTGCTTCCCACAAGTGCTGACCGGAGCTCTGTGTGTGGGGAGATGGAGGGGTGTCAGCTGGGAGCACTGTGTGTGTGGAGGACGGAGGGGACCATATGGCCAAAGTCCTCTCTTCTGGTTCTGACCAGCCGTCCTCACCCTCGGCCCTTGAGTGCAGTGGCCGTGGTGACTGGTGACGGTAATGGGGCCTGTTGATGTGGCTGGACCGTGTACACTTACCTAATCTTTCTCTGTACAGAGAGCCGCCAACATGATCCCCGCGCACGACAGCCCTTTGGCAGCTCTGGCATTTGATGCGAGTGGCACCAAGCTGGCCACTGCTTCGGAGAAGGTAGGTCCTGCTGGGTGAAGCGTCCCCCCCCACAGCTGGGGGACCAGAACAGCCGTTCTCCTGACTGGATCTCAGGACACGCCATGAAGCTGCCGGGCGGGCCACCTGCAGTGAGTGGAAGGCACAGGCTCCTGTGTTCCAATGATAGAGCTCTCACATGCCCCTTCTAGAACGTTCGGGAGAAAAGGCCATAAGGCCATGTGTTGTCCAGCCACTTACCCAGGGATGTTTAATTTTTGAGGGAGCAGGAAGTTGTAAGAAAAATTTGTGTTTAGAATTAGCCGGCTGGACTCAGTTTAGATGGATCCCAGTTTTGTTGGCAGCATCCTAAGTGTCTTAGGAGGGAGTTGAGCACAGGCCTCCTTCTCTCCATCAGGCCTGGTCAAGGTGCTGACCTTGGCCCGTCAGTGTCATAGAGCATCTCCACAGCTTGTTTGATCTGGTGCTTGTGGCCTTGACATCCACAGTGAACACACGTGTGTTGTTCTGTCTTCCTCACGGCTGACTCAGTGGTCAGGGGAAAGTTGATGATGGTCCAGTGGTCAAGCTTGTTTCTCCCGGGGGCGCTCTTCCAGGGTATCTGGGCTGCCTCCGGAGTCTCGGCGTCTTAGGCTCTGGAAGGTGGTGACGTACCTTCTTGGCTTTAACACCTTTACTTTGGCTTCAGTTTTGGGAGGGGCAGGGGCTTCCCCTTTCGCCACCGTCTTCATTAAAAGGCGCGGGGTTGTCTTTGTTAAGGTGACATCTGCTTAGGATAGAAAATCATGAGAAGCGTGGGATTTCCTTTCGTTCCTGGATTTCCTGCTTGTAATGCCAGCCCGCCTGCCCACAGAAAGAACTCTCAGGTCCTGTGTGAGAGCGGATGCATGGGGGGCCCGAGAATGGTGGTCCTCGAAGGCAGGTGCAGACTGTCGCCTCAGCTGCTCCAGACACTGCCGTGTATTGGTCTCATTCAACTCACAGAAGTTCTGTTTTCGCTTCTGTGACAAAATTGATCCTGTATGATATGTATATAATTCGTCATCATTCCCTCCACTGTTTAGTAGGAGAGCTGGTAGTGCTGTGGTTAAAGTATTTTTGCTGCTAATCAAAGGGTTAGCAGTTCAAACCTATCAGCCACTCTGCAGGAGAAAGAAGATCCAGTCTGCTGTAAAAGTCTACAGCCAGAGACACCTGCGGTCCTGGGGCACCTGTGGGGCAGTTCTGCTCTGTCCTGCAGGGTCACCAAGTCACAGCCAGCTCCGGGGCCATGGGTTTGGGGTTTAGGAGGACCGTGTTTCTCTGTGGGAGCCTAACGGGTAGGGCTTTGCACTGCTCAAAGGTGGCACCTCTCTGGCAGTTCAAAACCACCAGTTGCTTCGCAGGAGAGAGAACGGCGATCTCCTCCCGTGCGATTTATATCCTCTGAACATCCGCTGGGGGGTCAGCTGTCGGTGCCAGATCGATGGCAGCGAGAGAAAATGTCTGTGAATACAGTCATTTGTTTGCACATGACCCTTTGGGAGCATTTCTGTTTAATTACTTGTGTTGTTTGAGGATGCACACGGCAGGAAGTACACCAGTTGGCGTTTTTGGCAGATTTGCTGACGTGGAGTACGTGCAGGGACCTGACAGCCTTTGTTTGCAGTTTTAAATTTGCTGCTCTAAGTAATTGTGTTGGTAGGTCTTCCGCATCCCTTAGATTCCAGTGGTGGGGGTGGGGGGTGTCGGGGTCTCTCCTTCCCTGTGGCAGGCCGGGCTCTTGTTCCTGGCGGGGGCGCCGCATGTGCAGCGCTGCCTGTCTGTCGGTGAGGGTTTGCATTCCTGAACAATTTCTGCACTGAGGCAGACTGGCGAGGAAGGAATAAAGGCCTGGCACACTCCTGCCTGGATCATAAGGTCAAGGATCCACGGCATGTCTTCTCCAGTCATGAGGGTGCATGGACCTGTCTTCTCCCAGTCACCGGCTGGCACAGACCCGCAGCGTGTCTGTCCACACGTGGAGGTGGCATTGACCTGCTGTGTCTTTTCCCTGTCACCGGATGGCACTGACCCTCTGTGTCTCCCAGTCACCGGCTGGCACAGACCTGCAGCGTGTCTTGTCCACACATGGAGGTGGCACTGACCCGCGACATGTCTTCGTCCTCCCGAGCCCCACACTGTGCCCACTGCTGTCTAGTTCTGTGAAACAGCTGATGGGAGTGACACCCCGTAGCAGCAGTGGAACTGTCCATGGTGTTTCCAAGGCTGTGAATCTTAATGCAAACAAACGGTCTTGTTTTCCTTTCCTACAGCGGATGGTGGGTTTGAACTACTAGCCTTTTGACCACTGTGCCATGAGGGTTCCTACCAGCAACACACTTGAGATAAATTTGCCCTGCCTCCCCCGCCACCCCCATTCCCTCTGCTCGGTGATTGATCTGTGAGTGTCAGCTCTACCTCTTAGGGACTCTGCCACACCTCCTCTCCCTCCTTGATTCAGCCCCCGATGCTGTTTCTCTGGGAGGTCATGTTCCCCCAGCCTTTCTTTTATTTCCTCCAAGCCCACAACCCATCACAAGTCCACCACCTCCTTCCCCTGTCTTGAGGATTCCGCTCTTTCCGGTGTCTTCTCATCGTGTCACTACGCTGTTCTCTGTCCTCGGTGAATCTGTAAGGTAGACCGTCTCCTCTTACACTGAGGGCTCAGAAGTTAAGGGAATGTGCCTGGGCCGACCAGCGGGGCCTTGGCATCGGGGCCTGGATCCTGGGCTAACTGTTGTCTCCTCCTGGGCAGGTCAACATGGCCGGGAATTCTCTTACCCCGATTGATCTGGGCTTTCTCTGGTTAGCACTTAGGTGGGGCACAGAATGGCGTTTGCATCCAGTCAGCATAGACTGATGGCTTGGAGCGAGCCCCTGGTTGGCTTGCTGTGTGCAGAAGCCCCTTGTTTGAACAGCTAGCCTCTCAGGGGCCTCCGGCTCTCCTGACGTGGAGTGGCACTGTGGGACACAGAGTCGTGTCTGCTCATTGGCAGGAGTTACACAGCTGACGTCCCGTTTGAAGAGCTGTGTGTTGACTGAGGGTGTGGGCCGCAGGGACGGACCGTGACCTGGGGTGGGGGTCGGCGCCGTCCTCCCGGTACAGCAGAGCTGAGCTCTGCAGCCTGGACCCTCCCTGGGCTCTGCCATGGGAGCTGCTGTCGTCACCCCGGTGGTGCTGCGTCTCGGTGAGGGTCTTCCTTGTTGGTGCTGACCCTGTTCTTCAGCAGCATGGCCGACCTTCCCCAGGGACGGACCCGCTCTGCAGTGTGTCAGGTTGTTACACGACGTCTGGGCGGCGGCATTTCGAAGGAGCACTCTGGCTGCTTTTTGGCCAAGACACATTCTTTCACAGTCTGTTCTCGGCCAGCCTCTTCAGTTATTCATGGTTTTCAGGTATTTCAGATGTGATGGAAAAGACTGGTTTGGACCGGTACACCTTAGTCTTCAAAACGACGTTTTGCTTTTCAGCACCTTAAAGAGGTCACTGAATCAGACCAGTAGCTGCAGGGGGGCTGCCTCAGGTATTTGCTGCCTGGTCCTGAAGTCCGTCCCTCACTGTGGAAGCTTTCCACCACGTCCTGACCCGGGGTGCCGGGGGGGGCGTGCACCGTGCCAGCTCCTGGGGCTCTGGGCAGAGGTAACCCCTCTTCATCAGCGTGTCGGGCAGCTGGACTTGTGCGGGACACTCACACACCCGGGCCTCATTCCGCTCGCGTGTCGGGCAGCTGGACTTGCGTTGGACTCTTACACACCCGGGCCTCATTCCACTCCAGGGTCAGGGACTCGCTTGTCTTTACTTTGCTGCATTTCTGGCCTTTCTTTTTTATGCTTTCTCACTGTTGTGCTAAAGATCACTCCGTTCCCCAAAGAAAGTGGTGTGTGTTGGTGTCTCTGTATTCAGTTGTTTGAACTTTGAGCTCTGTGAGCTGGGGGACTGAAGGTTGAGTGGGTTCCCTCAGTGGGGACATGAGAGGCTGAGTGAGGGTGCGCTGTTGGACTGTAGTGTCACACAGTGTCCTTCTGTTTCCTTGTATTCCTTGAAGGAGATTCACGAAGCAGGTTGGTTTTCTAGTCCTCTGTCCTGCACGTTTTGTTTTCTGATTAATGGCAGCGCCCACCATGTGGCCCCGCTTTCCCCACATTCTCCCTGTGAGTCTCACTTCACTCAGCCTCTGTCCTGCTCTCCTGCTCCTTCCCATGCGCTGGCTCTATCCTGGGGCCGTTCCTGCTTCTGTGTCTTAGGTGGATATTCTGAGGAATGAGTACCTGTTTGGTGTCACTGGCCACCTTAGAAGGTTTGCCCACTGTTTGACCAACAGTTGAGGCGGGGAGTGAGTTTTGTCCCGGGCTCCAGGGGTGGCGGAAGGCCACAGTCTCTGGGTTCCCTCAGATTTGAAGTGTTCCACGTCTGTCCTGCTCTGTGCAGGATCTTCTGTGATCCCTTTCAGGGTGGCCATGGCGGTAGTGGGCCCATCTGGTTCTGGAAGGCAAAGTTCATGTGGTCCACTAGCCCTTTGGACGGTTTCTCTCTGCCTCCATGCTCTTCTTTCCTGGTCTCTGTTCTAGAGAGGGACCAGGGTTGTGCTGTTGGCAGGCTTAAGACCCAGCTGCTGCTTGCTAAAATAGGATGTGGAAGCTTATTTACAACAGAAAGATGGGCCGGACCCTCCACTGGGATTTATAGCCGCAGAGACACAGGGAGAGCTGCTGGGTCGATGGCCGGAGCTTCCTGTGCTCTGCAGGCCAGTGATCTCCCGGCCCAGGAGCCACAGAAGTTGAGAGCTCTGCCCCCCGTTATTCCCGCTAGAGTATTCCTTCTTGTGCCCTGTCTGCCCCCACGTCCCCCACACACCATAGTTAGTTGAAGGTGGAGAGGCTGGGAATGATTAGAAGACTGGCATCTTCAGGATAGCTGGCTTGATACAAGGCCAGTGCCGCTTCCAGCTCTGCACGTTTTGTTGTGAACGGTCCGTGTTTTCTTAGAGAGGTTTTCCGTTGTGTGACTGCTCACCTCCCGGTGAGCGGTGACCCCGCCACCACTGTTTCCTGCAGGTTTCCTGCCGCGGAAACCCCGGGAGAGGTGCTGCTCCGAGCACAGGCTGCTGGCGTGGAGTCCACGTGGCCGCAGAGGCCTGGGGTTGGGGTTCACATTTTGTCCGGTTGACTGGGCTCCTCCTGAGGCAGCTGCGCCCCATGTTCTAGGTTCCCGTGATGGTAACGCACCGTGAAGTGGCTGGTGGGCTGATGAGCGCCCTTGCACCCTCGAGCTGAGGACGCCCCTCGATGGGGTGCTCCCGCTCGGAAGGCAGGCGTCGCAGGCAAGGTGCTCTGCTGCTGTTGCAGGGGGCTGGTCAGCAGTGGGCACAGTGTGTCACGGGCTGTGTGAGGAGTGGGGGTTTGAGGGGAGTCGTAGCCAGCACTGGAGTTGGGGGTGCGGTGGTGCGTATGTTTTCACTAAAAAAATCCACGAGAATGCTGTGGTTTAAGGGTCCTTTTAAAAGACAAGATTCTCGCTGAGAGCCCTGTGAGCCACGGAGCTGTTCACGTCGTGTCGTCGGGTCAAGCTCAGCGGGCAATAGCCCCACACCAGGGCCGCCTCCCAGCAGCGTGCGCTCGAAGGTCTGCACACACCAAAGAGAAGCAGGGCTGTCACACGGCCGAGTCCAGGGACCCGTGGGTTCTGTTCAGCCGCTCAGTGAAGCCAGTCACCTGTTCTGGTTTCCTACTCCACAGAAAAGTCACATTTGCATGATGTCAGTAAGCATACAACAGAGCAAGATGAAAAATCTTGAAACACTGTCTAAAACGTGGCAGACTAGCAGTGGACATGTGCCGTTGGGAGTGGCATGTCCACAGACCTGCAGTCTGTCATAGCCCCGTATCTTCGATGAGCAGTGAAGCAGACGGGGTGCACTGAAACACCGTTCGCCTGGATTCCACGTTGGAATCCGTGACTGTTAGTCTTTAGATCAGTAGAAAGTTAAGATGGGTTGATCTAAGGAAGAGACTCAGAATTTCATGAGAACTTACTAAGCACGCGGCTTGAATCCAGCTGCTCCTCGGTCACCTGCGCGGCTCAGTGTCACAGAAACCTGTCGGGGGCTGTGTGATGGTTCCAACTCAGCGGCATGTAACACGACTGGAGAGGAGAAAGATCTCGTATTTGACATCCGCACAGGACTTGCTTGTCCTCCGTGGGGAGGCTGGGAAACCCTCAGCCGGCACAGAGCCGGCACTGAAAACCACAGCACACGCTTCTTACAGCCCTGGGTAAAAGAACCAGAAAGACGGTTCCCTTTCACGTCGCTGAAGTTCCATCTTCTGTCTCCTGTCACAGGGCACCGTGATCAGAGTGTTTTCCATCCCAGAGGGACAGAAACTCTTTGAGTTCCGGCGAGGAGTTAAAAGGTAGTGTACCAAAGTCCCGGTGTTCCCTAGGGAAGTGCGTGGGTCTCATCGTGTGCTCCTGGGGGCCAGGCCAGGGAAGCCGAGAAACAGGGAAGCCTCCCGCCTTCAGTTGAGATGAGGAGGCTTCTCACAGCCTGTTGTTGGTGCCGTGGAGTCAGAACAGCGGACCCGTTGGTGATCCTCCAGCAGGTTTTCAGAGGCACTAAGCTAAACGGGAGGAGCTTGCCCATGTTTATCCCACAGAGCAGGTGGTGGATTTGAACTGCATACCTTTGGATTGCCAGCACCACTTGTTGCCACCAGACCACCAAAGCCCCATTGCTCATAAAAAGCTGTTTATGAGTGCACACTGGGCATTCTTTCAGCTCTTTCTAACTGGATATGGTTATCTGGATTTGGGCAGAGCCCGGAGAGCCAGGCCCTGGGGCGGTGCTGAGGCCAAGCTGACTCTGGGGCGCGCCTGAGCTGCCTCGCTTAATTCCCCATCTGTCCATCCTCCCTGTCTTCTGCACACTCTGCCTGGGTGAATGCTGCCCTTTTGATCTTAGTGGTTAGTATTAGGAGTCTGTACCTCCCTGCTGTGTTGGTTCACCTGTCATTTGGTTGAAAGTTGAGTCACACAGTGAATTCTGTTCCAGGCTCAAAGGTGACTGAGCCTTGGTCTTAGGAGTTCTGCTGCTCTCAGTCTGCCTGGGAATCCTGGTCTTCTATATTAATTTGGGGGGTTTGTCTCCCCTTTCTCGCCCCCTTTGTCCAGTACCTCCTCCCCTGGTTCTCTCACCAGTCCATGCTGGAGCCACGCACCATCTAGTTCTGATGTCATGCGCGTGCCTTGGCCTGGGCTTAGCCTTTGGACATTATTCTGTCGTTCTTCTGAGAGGCTCCTGGACAGATGTGAGAGGATGTCAGTGGACTGGAGGCGGCCTGCTGTGGGGCCTTCTCCTATGACGGTGTCCCCTGACTGAGTCCTCTTCCTGTTCCAGGTGCGTCAGCATCAGCTCCCTGGCCTTCAGCATGGACGGCATGTTCCTCTCTGCGTCCAGCAACACAGAAACTGTGCACATCTTCAAACTCGAGACTGTGAAGGAGAAGTGAGTGCCAGGAGGTGTCCCAGGAAGGCTGGGCCCGCTGCTCCCAGCATGCACTGCCTGGGTGGGGGCGGGATGAGGACACTGGCTAGTGAGGAGTGTCGTTGTTGGGTGCTGTGCAGTTGGTGTCCTCCCACACTGTCCCCATGCATGACCACAGAACTGTCCCAGAGCCTGGCTGAATGTCATCTCTCTGGTCTGTGGGAGCAGACCACTGGGCCCTTCCACTACAAAGCCCCCATGGGCTCAAACTGGCCACCTTCTGGTTACCAGCCAGGTGCTTAACCACTGTGCCACCAGGGCTCCTATGAGTAAAGAATAAACCACAAAGCCCGCTGCTTCAAGTTGGTTCCAGCTCATGAGTTTCTAGGCTGTGACTCTTCTGAGAGGAGACTGCCCATCTTTCTCCTGAAGAGCAGCTGGTGAGTTTGAACTGCCAGCCTTTTAGTCCAAAGCCTGGTCACGTCACATACTACCCCACCAGGGTTCCCTCAGTAGAGAACAAGGACCAGCAGATTGGAGCTCAGTTGAGAAAGCTCTTTCCCCCTCCTTTATAATGGTGCTCAAACATGGCAAGTCTGCATGAGAAGGATGGAGTGGGGCTCGAACCACTTCCTGAGAAGCTCCCGTCCTCCCCTAGTACAGGTGCGGCTCCCTGGCGCGTATACGGGGTGTCTGTGTGGGGTGTCCTTGGTGTGCCTGAGTGCCCTTGTAACCCACCTGCACGTCAGCCGGGAGCTGGGCTGTGTCACCTGGGAAGCGTCGCTGTAACTCAGGCATGATGGTGACGGAGCACCTGCCTTCAGCTGCTTTAGCGTGTGCCCGCTGGTGTCGCGAGCAGAACTCAGACTGATGGCAGGTGCACGCCAGGGAGTGGCCAGGCAGCAGGAGAGCCTCAGCCCTCACACTTGTGCCCACTTGACCCACACATCAGAAAGAGCTGGAGGGCTCATCGATTGGCCCCTGTTGTCCTCATACTTGCCAAGGTGCCCTGGTAGCACAGTAATTAAGCATTCACTGGTGACCAGAAGATCTGCAGTTCTGAGGGAGGAAAGCTCTTACCATCTGCTCCTGTAAAGACTGCAGTCCACGATCCCTGCGGTGGGTCATCAGCAGTCCAGCCCCAAAGGAGCTCGGCCCTGTCTACTGCTAAGGCCTCAGGGGGCGTCTCCCCTCCCTCTTAGGGGAGACAGGCCACAGGGCCTCAGGAGGCGAGTTCCCTGGAGGGGACCTCGGGCTTGGAGGCGAGTCCCAAGGAAGGGACCTCGGGCCCGGAGGACGCCTGCCTCTCTTGTCTTGGCGGGTAGGTGATCTCTGCTTCAAGTGTCAGGCTGACCCTCCTCTCCGTGGGAGGGGGTGGGGTGGGTCTCACCTGAGCTCTGTCATCTGAACACCTGTCCCTTGTCCAGACCCCAGGAGGAGCCCACCACCTGGACTGGCTACTTCGGGAAAGTGCTCATGGCCTCCACGAGCTACCTGCCCTCACAGGTCACGGAGATGTTCAACCAGGGCAGGGCCTTTGCCACTGTCCGCTTGCCCTTCTGCGGCCATAAGAATATCTGCTCTTTGGCCACGTGAGTAATCCCCCTGGTGTCCCATGTCCTCAGGACACCACCGAGGAAGAACTCCCTAGGGTCAGGGTGGGAGGGAGGAGCCAGCATGCAACTCCTGCAGTGGACACGTCATTCCAGCGGGTCGTCCTTCCATTTCTATGGAAAGTATTAGGTGCTAATGAGAAGTCTTTGATTTGAACTACAAGAGCAGAGGAAGACTCATCCATGCCCTGCACATGCAGAAGACACAGCCTTGCTCAGTGCACTGTGCAGAGAACTGGAAGTGCCTGTCGCAGAAGATCGAGGGTACAGTCTTTGTGTAGATTGCCTGTCGACATCAGGAAGACAAGAAATCTTCACCATCAGGCCAGTAAGCAACGTTATGAAAGAATTGAAGTGCTGCCGATTTCATCTTGCTCCAGTCCACACTCGACACCCTTGGCGCTAGCAGTCTGAGAATCTGCTGTCAGGGCCCTCTCCAGAGTGCTGAAGAGCAGAGATGTCATTGCAAGACCAACATGCACCTGATCCAGGCCGTGGTCTTCTCAGCTCCTCACTCTACATCTGAGAACTAGACAGCGAAGAAGAATGACAGAAGCGGCTGCTGTGCCTCCGACTGGTGGTGCTAGAGAAGAGTCTGAACACACGTGGGCTGCCAGAAGACAAGCAGGTCTGTCCTGGAGAGCGTGGAAGCAGAGTGCGTGCCCCGTGGAAGGAAGGATGGTCAGAGTCCAGCTCACGTACTGTGGGCATGTCGTCAGGAGAGGCCGGTCCTTGGGGAAGGACCTCATGCTGGGAAGACCTTGACCAGGTGGATTGACAGTGCTTGTGCCGAGGCAGCCGTGGTGAGGTTGGCTTAGGGGAGGGCAAGGTTCAGAGCCATTGTTCTAGGCTCACCATGTGTCGCTTGACGGCACGTAACGGTGCCAGCTTGCCCACACTGAACCCGATTTGGCTGATAAAGGGAACCATCTCCCAGGGTCTCAGTCCCTATTCTAGCACGCCGTGGGGGAAGTGCGATCAGAACGCGCAGGCTGGGAGCAGTCTGAGTCTTCGCTGGGATTGGCCCTGGAGAGACCAGCTTTCCACCTCGGCACCCCTTCACAATTCCATGAGCTCCACGGGCACTGTGCTTTCGTCAGACTAGCAGAGCTGGAAGTGACAACGTTTAGAGAAAGAGGGAGGCTGGTCTCACTGAGGTCAGGATTTATTCAGGCCTGTGGTCAGCTGGTGGGAGCATGGCAAGTACCGCTGTCCCTTCTGATCCATGGATCACCAGGCACTTAGGGAACACGTCAGCTTGTGGGGGCTCCTCCCCTCTCCGTGCTGAAGGCTCCTCAGTCTTCATGAGTGTGCTGGTCCTTGGGAGAAGCTCGACCAGATGAATGTGGCGTCAGGATTGGTCATGCAGATCACACAGACGGTGTTTGCCGAAAGTGAAGACTTAGAGCACTTAATGAAGCCCAGAGATTAGAGCCTGGGAGATGAGTTCTCTCACGCCCTGAGGAAGCGAACGTCTTCATCAGTGGACCAGGAGGAAGGAGGGACTGACGCTGTGGAGGATTCCATTTCACTTGGGTCCACAAAACACCTACGGTAGTCAGAACATCAAGATATGTTGGATTAGAGAAATCTGCTGTCAAGGAGCTCTTCAGGGTCTTGAGAAGAGCAAGGGTGTCCATTTAAAGACTGAGGTGCAGCTGACTCAACCCACAGTATTTTTTTTTAACCATGTGAAAGGGTCAGAAACAATTGAATATTTTATTTATAAAGTGTTGGAAGATGAAATAACCACATAAAAGGTACTTAAAATTTTTTTTAAAAAAAGGTACTTAAAATACACTCTCTTGTGAACCACAGCCTATAAATATAACTAACACGATATACAGAATAAACAACAAAATATAAACCAGTAAGCAGGAACAAGACTGTTGGGGCAAAGAGGCAAAGCTCTAATATGTTAATTGAATGATAAAAACAAAATTCTTTGAGGTAATACAGACTCAGTAGCTGAAAGCTTATCATGGCCCAGGTGAGCCCTTTGGAAGACTTAAAGAGTCCAGCCCACTATAAACACCATTTGAAGACTTAAAAAAAATAAGATTACATAAACCCAGTATATTTGGTGACAAGCCCTTTCAAGGGGACATTCTCTAAGGACATTTCAAATTGTTTAGGGAATTGTATTTAGACAAATATCTTTGAAAAGAGCACTAAGTTACGTCAGTTAATAACTTAATAACCAGTGTGTAAACCCAGCAGTCCACTTCCTCCATCTGCTGGGGGCCTCAGTTTACCCATCTGTTACTTAGAAAAAGAAAAAGCATGCTTCCTAAGGTCCTTTCAGGGTCCAAGCTAACATCCTATGCTGTTGGTTATTTGATATAAAAGTCTTCAGGGTGGCGGGGGGAGAGGGCTGGGCAGGTAGAGAAGTGCAGCAATGAATGAATGGAAATCCAGATGCTCTGTAAATGTTCATTAAAATTATAAAAAAAAAAAAAAAGTCTGGTGGCAAGCATAGAAAAAAACCAAGAAGGAAAAAGAACTAAGTATGAGTCTTTGGAAAAGACAGAAGCAGTATCTTTTCGACTTTTAAATTCTGCCCCTTTTCCAGAAAGCTGGCATGGTTTCCTTATCACCGCTGGCTGCGAGTGTGGGCGAATGCCTCCTGCTCCACACAGCTTCTTTCCTCTCGGAGCTGCCTGAGCGTCTCGGCCAGGGATCCTTGACCCTCAGACTAGCCCTTGTAACGACTCGCCTTCCAGCTCTGCACGGCTAACCCTGTCACCACCCGCCTCAGGCTTGCTCGCTCCCTCAAGCTGTGATATTTAAGTGGTTTTACATACAGGTGAAAGTTGGACAGAGAAGGAGGATGACAGAAGGGTCAGAGCCTTTGAATTGTGGTATTGGTGACGGGGACTGAATGTCCCTCAGACGGGCTGCCGAGAGAGCAGCAAGTCCATCTTAAGAGATGCCACCAGCGTGTTCCCTCAAGCTGGAGACGGCCAGCTTCCTCTCACACACTCTGGGCATGTTTCCTGGAGGAGCCGGGCCTTGGAAGAAGACCCACTTTCTTAAGAAGACTCTGAGTGACGTGGATAGACCCGCCGGCTGCAGCCGTGGCCTGGAGCGTGTCAGGACGTGAGGGGGTGCGGGTGGAACCCGACTCAGTCTGTTCCTCAGGGTCATTGTGAGTCGCAGTGGACTTCACAGCTCCTAACAGCATGGTCCTGAAATCTGCTCTCTTCCCACTAGAATCCAGAAGATTCCCCGACTGCTGGTGGGCGCCTCTGATGGCTACCTGTACATGTACAACCTGGACCCCCAGGAGGGGGGCGAGTGCACCCTGATGAAGCAGCACAGGTGAGGTGACGAGAGCTGGGACGACAGGAGGGCTTCCGAGCTTCACCCCCAGGGAGAGGTGGTGGCCGGTGGCAGTAGACAGCAGCAGCGCTGTGCACCACACGTCCTCTTACCCAGGGGCGGGCCTGACGTCCTGGGGGGTGGGCGCTGGACATCTGCTCCTAACGAGGGGGACCCCCAAGAAGCTTTCTCTTGATAGTTGTCCTTAGAGGTGAAATGACCCCAAGAGTGAGCCTGCACCGGCAGGGACCTGCAGAAGCGGGTGGTGCCTGGCTGCCGTTGCTGATGGCTGCAGAATGGAGCTCTGGAGAGGGTCCTGGATGGAGTGGGGAAGGGCGGGACTCAGGATCATAAATCCAGCCACGCCTGCTGGCCTCAGACACTGCTGGACCCCAGGAGCTGGGCCCTCGGTCACCGTGGAGCGTAGGGTGCACTCCGCCGTGTGGCTCAGCTTTCTGCCACGTGGTACACAGGTCACAGGCTGATCAGCAGAACAAGGACTGTCGTTCATGCCGTGTTAGTGCTGTAAAGATCTGTATGAATGAGTGAACAGAAAATCATTTTCACTCAGAAGCACAATTAAAACACTTAGTAAAGGAAGATAGACTTGTCTGATGATCATAACATCAGAGAAGGAGTCGATCCTTCCAACAGCTTTGGTTAAAAGGGCCGAAAGCGCAGAAGGCTGGAAGGGACAGGGTAGATGGAAAAGGGGGTGCACGGTGGATGTGGGGTGGGTGTGGGGTGAGTGCTGTTCCCACGGGCGCTGCAGTCAGAAAACCGTGTGTAGCATTCTGAGTGGGGAACCAGCTCCGACGCGTCCCTCTGCATCGGTGAGGGAGGGATGGAGGAACGCGGTGAGGGGCTCTGAGCCTCGGCCGGCCGGCCCCTCCACATCGAGCAGGACGCTGATGTTCCGCCGTCCTGGGTCAGGAGCACCCCGTGGGCGTCACACAGACTGCGAGGCTCACTGCTGTGTCCTTCTGTCCCAGGCTGGATGGCAGCATGGAGACGGCCAGTGAGATCCTGGACTCAGCCTCCCAGGAGTGCCCCTTGGTCACCCAGCCGTACAGCACAGCCACTATGAAAGCCACTTATGTGCCTGCCTCCCCGACGCGACCTGGGAAGGGCTGTGACGCTCAGCTGGAAGGTAGGTCCCTCGGCGGCCACAGCAGCAACTTCCGCTTGAGCTTGGTGCCTCCTGCTTCCGTGGAAAAGGACGTGAGCGTTCCCGAGATGTAAACCGGAGCAGCCAGGCACCGCTCCGAGGAGCTGTTCACTCCCAGAGGCCTCGGGGGGGGCACACTGCTACCGGCAGGGTAGCCAGGCCCCGCAGACAGCCTCACCTTTGAGGTCTCTGAACTGCTGATGTTTAGGGGAACAGCCACTTCCTTAATCTCTGCACCACCAGGGCTAACTAGGCAGGCCTTATAAACAAGGATTTCCAAGACTGCTTGAGGCAGAATTTATTTAAGTTTTTGAAGAAGACGACCACTGTAGTTCCACCTGGTCTGGTACAAGTTTGTGGTGCTGAGACTTGCCGCTGCTTCACAGAGCGGCTGGCCAGTCTGCAGTACAGAGCAGATGAGGCCAGCACCTGCTGGGTGGGGGCCCCAGGCGTGGTGTCACAGCGAGAGTCTCATCTGTTCCCTGTGCTCTCTGGGGAGGACACACGGCCTGTCACAGGGTCTCGTCCGTGCCCTGTGCTCTCCGGGGAGGACACACGGCCTGTCGCCCGCGTGTGTCGGCGTGGGGCTGTACCACACATTTCTCCTGGCTGGCTTTCTAGAACACACCTGTCGCCTCGTGTTCTGAGGCACTCAGGTAGACTTGAACCACCAACCCCTCAGTTACGGCATGGTGAGCAGCACTCAGCTCCTACACAGACGTCATCGCCCCACCTTTGGTCTTTTCGTGGAGCAGCTGGAGGACTCAAGCCACTGACCTTTTGGTTACTTAAACCACCACACCACCAGGCCCTCTCCTTCCCGAGTAGCTGCCACACCCAAGTTGGTGTGGCTGATTCTGACTCCTGGTCCCCCTCCATCGGGCGTGGGGGGCTGTCAACGGGAGACTGCCTCACCCTTGTCCTGCAGAGGCCTGAGCGGGCCCCAGGCTGCCCTTTGCTGTGGCAGCCCGGCCAGTTGCACACAGCACCCTGGGCTGCCTTCTCACCACTCCAGCTCCAAGCAGCCCCGACTCTGCTCCGTGGAAACTTGGGGCACACATGGTGGTTTGTAGTAGTTACTATTGATGTGTGTCGGAGCATTGTTACAGTTGTGTTAAGATAGAGATGTTCTGTGCGCCCAGAAGTATCTCCTTAACGTTCTCTGTGCTTAGAAGAGGCAGCCCTCCCTCAGTCTCCATCCCCGCCGTTGCCTGAGACAGTTTCCTAGACAGGCCATGTTCTGTGCTCCGTTCCCAGGGCCTTGCCTTCGTCTTCCTCCCAGTTGTGGTTCCGTATTTGTGTTCAGTAAATCTCGTTGAATGTTTAAAACACCAACAAAACAAGACAAGCATTTGGCTCAGTGTCGTCAGATGTGAACTCTGAACCCTGCCGTGCCACCTTGGGTCCAGATCCGACGGAGGGAACTTGGTAGCGGTCCAGGCAATGCCAGGAAGCCTTGCGGGGGCAGCTCTCCAGGTCTTGACGGTGCAGCGCGTGGGTTCACACGGCCAGCCTGTGGGTTCACCTGAGCGCTTAGCCGCTGTGCCCCCACTGCCTCCTGTTGGAGACGAGATTGTGTTCCTGAGGTCAGTCCCAGGCCTGTGTGTGACGTCCTCTGATCTCTCCACAGCCTACACAGACGACCTGGGCGCTGTGGGCGGCGCCTGTCTGGAGGAAGAGACTGGTGCCCTGCGGCTGGACGAGGACAGTGAGCATCCTCCCATGATCCTTCGGACAGACTGAACCTGGCAGTGAACTCTGACCCGGAAGCAGCGTGGCCGGGGCATGGACCTGGTGTGCGGACCTGGTGTGCCGCTGTGGACTCTGCCCTGTGTTGGGGCGAAGGCGGCAGCCTCGGGCAGAGTGTAGACGTAGTCTTCTTCCGTACTGCTAAGAAACACACCTTTCACTTCAGTGGCTTCCACTTCCGCTTATGAGTTTGAGCTTTTGGGGCTATTTGGTTTTGGGGGTTTTGTTTTATTGTTTTGTTTTGTTTTGTTTTGCCAAAAATAACCCTTTGGTGAAGCCTTGGACCCCTCCTCGCTTTGCATGTGTTCATGTGCCAAGCCGGCGTATGAGAGCTAGAAGCCCCGCGGGCAACGGCTCCGTGCTCGGGCCTGTGCAGCGACGCTGTCGGGGAGGCCCAGGCCTGACGGCGGCTGGTCACGTGCAGGGCCTGTCCCAGCCCTCCGTCCTGCTCTGCTCAGGTCCCGGGCTCTCCTCCACCGTGGACTTTGTCTCTGATCGTGCTTGCCACGCAGCACATGGACTCAGAAGAGCCGTTGCAGTGGCCAGGGACGAGCGGGGCCCTGGGGAGAGTGGCGGGAAGGCGTCGTTGTCCTTCGGGTCATTAAATGAGCGGACCTTGGTCCCGGCCTGTGGCTTTTCTTAAGCACGGCCGTAGCTCCTCCTGTCACAAGCACAGGGTTCACATTTGAGGAGGAGCTGCATCGTCCCCTGCCCCGAGTGGCCGGGCTGGGTCCTGCACTGTGTCAGAGTGAGGAGAAAGCTAGAAACCCAAGAGAAGTGGGCAGGGAGCACCTCGGGCCCCAGGTGTCTATGTGCCTTTTTGAGTCGACTCTTCCAGAACCCATCAGGCAGAGTACTGAGCGCACGCGATTGTGAGTTTTCAGTATTTGCCTCGCTGCCCTTGTTCCTGTTCACAGGATTCAGACACCCTCCGTTCCCTCGGGTCTGCCCCTGCACCTGGCACGCCGAGGGTGGCCGCTGGTGCTGCTTTCCAGAGCTTTCTCCTGTGGCCAGGCCCAGGCTGTGGCTTGTGCTGAGCAAGGACACGTGGAGGTATTTCTGGAAGGCACGGAGCTGCCTGCAGTGGACAGCGTGTGCCCACAATGACAGCTGGCGCAAGTGGCCTGGACTGTCCCTTCCGATCAAGACTGGGTGTGTCCCAGCCGGGGTCTGAAGATGTGGGCACAGCAGTGTCCACAGCACAGCGAGTTTGTTTCCCGGAGACTCGGAGGGCCTGACCATGGACAGGCTTGACCGGGCCGGGACCCGGCGTGGTGGTGTGGGGCTAGAGGGCTGCCCTCCCTCGCTGGCTTGGAGGTGACACGTTGGGCGTGAGTGCGTGGTAGTGGGGCCAGATGGAAGACCCCATGGCTGGTTTGTGGACTCCCAACAGGCGGGCGCTCTCGGGGGATGGCACCAAGCATTTAGGTGTGGGCGTCCGCAGGCTTGGCTGACCGCTCAGGGCGTGTGCTGTTTCTCGTGGCCATCTCGACATATTCCAGGTTGACTCTGCTGTCTCTCTCTCCTGTGACGATCTGGCTAGAAAGATGGGCTCCCTTGGCCTGTGGCCCCTCTCCTGGGCGCCCCGCAGAGCCCCCAGGCCTCGTCCGTCCACTTCCCGGTCAGTGAGGTAGTTCACGGTGTCCGTGCAGACGACGAGGGTTGTCCATGCTTGCTGAGCAGTCCTCCCCTCTGTGATGGGGTCCGCACCACCTGGGAGGGGACCCCTCGGGTGTGGGGGAGTGGAGCGCGGCATGGGAGCCCGTCGGGGGCTGGCCAAACCAGTCACACAAGCAATTTGTTGGACTCCAAACTAGACACTAATGCGGATTGTTTCGGGTTTTTGGTTTTTTGGGGTTTTTTTTAATTCCAAACTCCAGTATCAATAATGGGGCCAGGGGGTGGGAGGGAAATTACTTCATGGCCGAGTGAATTGGGACCAAACCTTTTGTATTTTCTATAACTCTGGAACCTGGAGTCGAGGACCGATTGCCGTCCAGGGGCAGGGCGGCCACAGGACAGGAGGGTGGACGAGGCTGGGCAGCCTACCTCACAGGGCTGTTGTGAGGTCGCCATGATCCATGTACCCTGCAGGGGGCGCCCAATAAACGTTCAAACCCGAGTCCTGGGAGTGACCGGTGCGGTTTGTTCTGGGCAGCAGGAACGAGGCCGTGTCGCAGGCGTGGCTGCCACCCTGTGTGCCCAGGCCTGCGTGCGCAGAGCTGAGGGCGGGCCCACTGGGCAGCCAGGGCGCTGGTGGGGCCAGAGGGGCTGGAAGGATCAGGAGAAGTTGTTTCCAACCAAATAGGATTGCCCTGTGTTCACCCCTAAATCTGAGGCTACAGACCCAGGGAGCCTAGCCAGGCTCAGGATGACCACCCCACTTTCTCAAGGTGTCAGCCGTATCAGAGAGCAAGTGCTGGGACTCCCTGCTTTTTGAGAACAAGACGGGGCGAGGGAGAGAACTTCTGGTCGTCTCGTTGGAGACAGTGGGCCACAGCCAGCAGAGACCGGGATGCCCACAAGGCACCAACCCAGTGGGGGAGTGACCGCGTCCTGCTGGCCCCGTGTCTCCTGCCCCAGAGCTGGGGGCCGGGCTGTGCTCACCCGCTGGATGGCAGTGTCCCATGACCCCAGCTCTGGACCCGGGCCGAGCGGGGAGTTAGGGCAGGGCCAGTTCCAGACCATTAGGGCAGCTCGCTGGTCTCAGCACCGGTAACCACCACGTTGACGCTCCCGTACAAGCGTGCAATCTCCTGAGGACCATGAGATGTTGCAGAAATGACCAAAGTGTGACACAGGGACAGGGAATGAGCTGGTGCTGGGAGGACAGGGCCAGGTGGGCCTGCCCAGCGCAGGGTCACCAGGACGCTCTGTGGGAAGCTCAGTGGAGCGTGGCCACCCTGGGCATCGCACAAGCTTGGCCAGCACAGGCAGGCCACTGGTGCAGAGTCTGTTCCACTTGTGGAGACCCACCATGGGCCAGCTGAACTGTGCTCAGGGGCCTGCTTCAGTGGTTGGGCTTCTCTGGTGTGGATGGCAGTCACCAGGCCTTTCCTCCACTGCACCTCTTGGACTTTGAGTCCCCAGTCTCTAGATTTGTAGCTGGGCTACTATGCCGACCACACCCAGGAAGGGCCCGCTGGGGGGGACACTGACATTCATCACTGTGTCTGCAAGGCAGCAGCCTGCCATCTGCAAAGTGTTTCCCTTGCAGTTCACTTCTTACTGAATGTGTCCTTCCCCCCCCCCAAAAAAAAAAAAAACAACACCAAAATCCTCACTGCTGACGAGTTGATTCTGACCCAGGGTCGCTCCGTTGAGATCCTCAGACGGGAGGTCTTTCCAGCGGGATCTGGCTTTCTCCCCAGGAGCAGGTGGGAAGATTGACTGTCAGCAGTGCAGCACAGCGTGCCCGGCACCCCCAGGGCCCTGTTACACTCTCGGCACACAGGGAGCTCTGCTCTGTCCCCAGGTCATGCCCTTTGATGCTGCCCTGCCCTCCACCAGCAGCTGGCTCCTCAGGGAACGTTCAGTCTCTTTGAGAGTTGGCCTGGACAGGAACAGCTTGAGTTCAGCACCTCCTCCCTTCCTCACGCCATGCAGAGTTCTCTCGAGCGGCCGTAACACAGCAAGGGAACGGTTTGAACAAATGGATTCTGTTTAGGAGGCTGGACATCCAAGTCCGGGATGGCCTAGGGAGAGGCACACGCTCCGTGCTGGCTCTGGAGGAAGGCCCGTGTCTCCTCCAGCCAGTCGACAGGCTTTCCTTGGTGACCCCTCACGTCCTGACCTTCCTGGTGTCGGGGGCCTCCTGTCAGCAGAGACCTGAGGCCACAGGGAGGCCCACACGCCTGGTGCCGAAGTGCCTTCTCTTGGCTCTTTCCTGCCCTTCTGGCATCGCGATGAGGTGCCGTCGTGTCCAGTCTGACTCAGAGCAGCCCTGTAAAGTGCGAATTTGAACTTGAACCTGTCCTTGCGGTCTCATGTAATCACCCTAACCCGCAGTTCACTGTCGATCCATCGAGTTGAGGGTCTCCCTCTTTCTCTCTGATCCTTCACCCTTCCCAGTCTTTCCAAAGACTGGGGTCTCCTGATAGCATGCCCGCAGTGTGGAGACGTCCACATCTTTGCCCCAGGGAGCACTCTGGTTGCACTTCTCCCAGACTTCTGGTTTCGGCCGGCCACGGGTGACCAGTGCTCTCCAGCCCCACGCACAAGGGCACCGATTCTGCCGCCGCTAGGGAGCAAAGGTGCCGCCTGCCACAATCGGGGGAGACCGGGGCCAGGACCCACGGGGTGGAGGGACGTTGTGTGCCGGTGCTGTGTCTGTGGGACCAGGGGAGCTGTTACGTGGTGGCCACGTCTGTCATATTTACTTTAAGGGGACGAAATCCAGTCCATGACATTTTCTGAGCTGTAACTGAAGTGTACTTTGTTCTTTTCCTTTTTAGAACCTTGTGTGTGTCGCTGGAGTGACACTGTCCCTGAGTGGGCGGGTGGGGTGTATGCGTAAAGGGGTGTATTTGTACACGTCGGGGTAGGAGTCCAAGGGCGTGTGTCTCTAAGGGGGGGGTGATTCTAAGTTTGAGTCAGTGCCTACCAACCACCTTCATTCTCAAATCTGAAGGAAAGCCCGCTGCCGTTGGCATTTTATTGCTGCATTAAGAAATTAAAAGCTTTGCTTCTGTTAGCGGTTTTCCCTCTGATTTACTGCCAACTCCTAGCCGTGCATCTCACTGGGCCCCTGTTTAAAGCCTGGCGATGCACCTCGGGGTGGCGTGCCAGCTCCTGGTGATCCTGATATCCTAGAATCGGCTGCAGGTCCCCCCACTCGGAGCTGGCCTCCCTCCAGCCACAGAAGCCTGTATCTCCCCTGAAGGAACTGTATGTCTGGCAGCGGTGGGTTTGAAGGGCAGAATGGTGGACCCTTGAATGCAGTGACCGTGGGACCCTAACTCCATTTGTGTTCACTCTGGACCCTTCTTGGATTT